CCGCGGGCCTTCTAAAAATAGTACGCTATGACGTTTTCCGGTCTTAGAAATGACAAAGCCAATTGATGACCATTTCAGGTTTCTTGTAAACATGCTTCTTAAAACTTAACATTAACTTCTGGGAACTGACTTCGTCTACAGCCACCCCATCGGGCTTTTTAACTTCATGGGGCAGTCTTATTCTTTCTTCTGATGTTTTGACTCTGTCAATTAACGAAGGGGTATTTTTAGTTTTGCTTCCTGGTCTCCATCTTCGATTATTCTCTTCATCATCTTCTTTGGCTATGATCCGTGACTAATTTGATGTGGAAACAAACTTCATTTGGAAATCATTCAACTTTACATCTTGCTTGTTTACTCTCTCCACTAGAGTTGGTGTTCTTGAAAGTAACGGCTCAATTCGTGAGGCGGCTTTCATTTCCTGCAGTACATGGTTGGTAGTCTCTTCAAGGGTTCCCGGTGGAGGCATGTTTATTGTCCCCGCGGAGGCGACAAGAACAGGATTTTTGGGGCTTATCTAAAACTCCATCGGGGCTACCAGATATAAGATCATGGGTCGGCGAGTCCATGACAGCCTTCAAACCCCTAGTGCATAATTTCCTCATCACCACCAGTAACAGAAACATTGCAAATCCCATCTACATGCATAGGAGCCAAAATGATCAATAAATTGATCGTGGGCCCTTAAGATATAGAAGAAGAAGATAATTGTTTGCACATTCGGGGATTCATCTTCCATAACTTACAACAGCTGGTAGTTGGTATCTGGTCTATGAACAGCTGGTCGTTATTCTCTGGACTTACAGCACTGGGTAGTTGGTCTATGGACTTGCAACTCTTGTAGTTGGTCTCTGGACTTGAAAAACTTGGTAGTTGAACTCTGGACCTACAACTCTTGCCTGCTGGTCTCTGGATTACAACAGCTGGTCGTTGGTCTCTGGACGTACAACTGCTGGTAGTTGGTCTCTGGACTTACAATAGATGGTAGTTGGTCTCTGGACTTACAAATGCTGGTAGTTCTGCTCTCGGCTTACAACAGCTTGTAGTTGGTCTCTGGATTTACAAAAGTTGCTCGTCGGTCACTGGACTAACAAATCTTGGTAGTTGGTCTGGACTTGCAACACTTTTAAGTAGGTCTCTGATTTACAACACTTGGTAGTTGGTCTCTGGACTCACAACAGTTGTTAGGTAGTCTCTAGATTTACAACACTTGGTAATTGGTCTATGGACTTACAACACTTGGTAGGTGGTCTCTGGACTTGCAACATTTCTAGTTCGTCTCTGGACTTACAACAGCTGGTAGTTGGTCTCTGGACTCACAACAGCTGGTTGTCAGTCTTTGGACTTACAACACTTTGTATTATGTCTCTGGACTTGAAACACTTGGTAGTTAGTCTTTGGACTTACAACAGCTAGTAGTTGGTCTCTGGACTTACAAAAGCTGGTAATTGGTTTCTGGACTTACAACAGCTGGTAGTTGGTCTCTCGACTTACAACACCTGGGAGTTGGTCTATAGATTTACAACACTTGATAGTTGGTCTCTGAATTTGCAACACTTGATGGTTGGTCACTGGATTTACAACAGCTGGTTGGTCACTGGATTTACAACTGCTGGTTGTTGGTCTCTGGACTTACAACAGCTGGTCGTTGGTCTCTGGACTTACAACAGCTAGTAGTTGGTCTCTGGATTTACAACACCTGGTAGTTGGTCACTGGACCTAAAAAGCTTGGTAGTTAATCTCTGGACATAAACACTTGGTAGTTGGTCTTTGGACTTGCAACACTTGGCAGTTGGTCTCTTGACTTAAAACACTTGGTAGTTGATCTCTGAAATAACAACACTTGGTAGTTGGTCTTTGGACTTGCAACACTTGGCAGTTGGTCTCTTGACTTAAAACACTTGGTAGTTGATCTCTGAAATAACAACACTTGGTAGTTGGTCTTTGGACTTGCAACACTTGGCAGTTGGTCTCTTGACTTAAAACACTTGGTAGTTGATCTCTGAAATAACAACACTCGGTAGTTGGTCTCAGGACTTACAACACTTGGTAGTTGGTCTCTGGACTTACATTTGCTTGTAGTTGCTCTACACCAACATTAACTTTTTTTGCTTTTTACTAATAACCATTTTCTTGCTCTTTACCAACATTTACCTTCTTTCTTTTCGCCAACATCTCTTTTCTTTCTTTTTACCAACATCCATTTTCGTCATCTTTTTAATAACATACATTTTTTTCTATTTCCAATCACCCCACCTACTCATTTCTTACATATTTACGCTATTGCTATTGACAAGACTTAGATTAGCTCCCCGATTCAGAAGCCACCACAGACAAATTGACCATTCTTATAGTTACCCAATTCTAATTGTATATCACTTTGCCGATGTCTTTGCTGATATATAATTAAATAGAACAATCCTTTTAATGGGACAAAATAATGAGCATTCATTTTATAACTCCAAAGCTTAGACATATTAAATAACAATAAAATATGGAGAGCAGACGTCAAATCCTCTTCAATAAGGAATTGAAATCCTCGATAACTGCATTCAATTTAATTTTTAAAAAAATATTTGAAGTTATTATAAGTCATTGTTTCTCAACCTTTCTAATGTCGCGACCCTTTAATACAGTTCCTCGTGTTGTGGCGACCCCAAACCACAAAATTATTTTCGTTGATACTTTATAACTGTAGAGTATATGTGTTTTCAGATGACCTTAGGCGACCCCTGTACAAAGATTCGTGCGATGCGACCCCCTAAGGGGTCGCGACCCGCAGTGTTAGTTGATGTTCTTAGTGGACCATAGCAACTTCATATGCTTTCTAAATGTACATATACGCATCTCCATAATATACATCTATATTGTTGGTTTTTTAAAATATGTAAAAATGCAGTTATATCTGACACGGGTCTAAAACTGTGGTGGTCTGTATTCAATTGCACATTGGAAAATTTTGTTGAATATATTTTAAGCTATTTAAACCTATTTAACTTCATAATAGCAATGAGGTCATGTTATATTTTGAATTCAATATGATTTTTGCATAGACACTGGATGTGAAATAATAAACATCAAATGCTGGAGACGCCAACGTATTTGCTGCCTTGGTAGCAGGGGCGTAGAAAAGGGGATAAGAAGGGGCGATCTGAACATAAATGGCGTGTTTTTTTCTTTACATAACGCCGTGAAACTTTCAGCAAAATTTTGATATTTTTCATGGAAAAAGGGTAACACAAATCTTTATTAGCCCCAGGTGCCACAAACAAGAAATTACCCCCTACTTAACATTATTGATATTTTTTTCCCGCCCTGGGCGGCACAAAACTGAACTATGACCCTGCCTGAAATTAAAGGGATGCAATAATTTGATCCACCCCGGATGGATGTATTTATTTGCCCCACCCCGGATGGATGTATTTATTTGCCCCACCCCGGATGGATGTATTTATTTGCCCCACCCCGTTTGGTATTAAAAATAACTAAGTCACAACCTGACATTGTTGAGATGTAACCATTTAACTTGTCCCCTGTGGCACTAAACGTGCTACGCGACTATATGATATTTATGAGATGCAATCATTTGACCCACCCTGGGTGGCACCAAAGAGAACTACGCCACTACCTGACATTGCTGCGATTCAATCACATATCCCGCCCCTAGTACAAAGTGTGTAAAAGAACACTACCTATAAGAAGGCTTAAACAGTTGGTAAATTTAATATGAGTAGGCTCCTAGGTTCTAATGGATTGGTGTCGACAAAGTCAAATATATTTTGAATACTAGAAGAATTTACAATTCTCTCTAAAGAATATTTATCGTTGTATTGAAATTGAAATGTCAACACAACCTCTTGTACAGTGGAAGTCTTAACAGCTGGTCGTAGACTAGAAAGTCTAAACAGCTTACAGTAGACTAAACAGTTAAAATAGATTTCAGTAACCTAGACAGTCTAAACAACTTAAGCTAAACTAGACAGTGTGAGCAGTTTTCGGCCACTGGGTAAACATTTTATTCTAATCGATAAAAAGATATCTAGCACAATACGATAAATTAAACTGTCAATCACAGGCTTACATTACAAAGTCATTTAAGCTATACAAATAAAGGATGATGGTTCTAAAATTAATTTACATCTTGTATAAACTTAACGCTTAAAAGTAAAAAAACAACAACATTTGGTCACGATTCTTATATTTCAATTGATACATTTATAAATTTCTTCATCAATAGGTTGACCTTATAAACAATGATTTTTATCTGAGATGTATGGCGACGCTAATAAACTGATTATTTGATTATTTGTTTCATGTTGATCCTTAGAGAAATTCACGAGTTTACTTTGCTGTATTTTGTGTTTGAAAAATGTTTTACCTGCTTAATCAATAGACAAGATCAGTAATTATTTATTGATCACGTTAATTGTAAATAAAAGAAATTATTATTTTGAAACAGCTCTGATTCTTTACGCAACGTAATTAAATATATTGAAGGAGAACTTTTGGAAATTAAGCATACCTTTATTAGACTTTCTTTCTATTAACATTTCACATCGTGATTGTTTATGGAGCGTTATTTGAATTTATTTTCGTTTTGTTGACAATGTCGCTAACAATATCATGGATGACCTCGCCTACCTTGCTGAATGGTTGGGTGAGCTAAGATCTTTTATAAAGTTTTATACCGAGGTAAATAATCATTTATAATTTTATTAAATGCTTTCCGCGAAGGTAGCCGGTGGGGAAAATATATAATATGTATAAAAAATATAATAATTTATGGTTGTAACAATGTGTTCATTAGCGCACAAACTAAAATTCCAAGAAGTTAGCACAAATTTTATTCTTATATAGTATGTTATTTGAATGAATGTTTTTTTTGTTGTTGTTTTTTTAAAATAATTAACCATTGGATGAAACATTCAAGCAATACCTCTTCCACAATTCGTCAGTTCATTTCCAGTACAAGAAAAATAGTATAAAACACGAGGACCTTTCAGAGATCTTTGAGTTTTCAGCCTAATTTACAACACTATTAATTTATTTGAACTCCTATTTGAATATAATAGTTGTTGCTTCTCTGTCTTGCTTTAATTAGACAATACGTGGCGACTGAAGTTCAGATATTGGTTCCCTAAGACTACACCGGGCTGACATTCAGCTATTTGCTGACACCTTGGCAGGTAACTTAACCTTGACACTGTTCAGTATGTATATTGTATGTATATGTATTTAAGTATGTTATACATATAGCGTATTGAAAAGCAATGAAAATATTAAAAATAATGTAAGACATTTTTAAAAACTGTTTTTTACAGAACTTACAGTACCTTATCTTAAGCACGTAAGTATGTTTATTAATGTACTTACATTCCCTTATCTTAAGCCTGTACGCGTGTTTGTCAGCGTTGTTTATATTCCCTTCGCTTAAGCACCTACGTGTGTTTGTCATTATTGTTAGATTCCCATATCTTAAGCACATACATGTGTCTGTCATTGTTGTTACATCCATCATCTTAAGCACCTACATGTGTTTGTCATTGTTGTTACATTTTCATAATTTAAGCACGTACGAGTATGTGTTGATGATGCTACATTCCTGCATCTTTCTCGTACATATGCTTGGCAACGTTGCATATAAGCAGACACTTAATGTTTCTAGTTTCTAAACAAATGCTGAATGCTTATTATTTATATTTTTAACAAGTTTTCATAACTATTGCAATCCTACTTGACTTACTTTGTGCCATCTATTTTAATATCTTGAAATTATTCCACAGTATTGGAAGTTTGTGATCAGCTTATGAGGCCGACCACGGTAAGCTCCTAGGTCTCTGCTTGACCTATATCATGACGATCTTAACTTTGGGCTTCCATAATGCTCTTTTTTTGTATCTTGACCACATCTTGGGACTGTTGCCTTTCCGCACTCAAGGCGTTTCACCCGCCCCCAATTCGTAGTAAAATACAATTTTTTTCTAATTTCACTTGAATTATTTTGACTGTTGGTCAGTTCCAATTACTTGTTAACAACTGTAGTCAACCTCCGTGGTTTCGGTACTTGAACGAAGGCGGTGATATTAAACTGCCTACCATCACACCTGGAATAGACCTACATTCTGTCTTCATAATCTCTAAAATTAAACTAAGGGGGTCTCTCAACGGCGTAAAAACTGTTGATAGTTCTGATGAATGATTGTGAGTGTAATAAACGTAAAAAACTCGTCAATAATCGGGAAAAGTGACATCTGCATTTGATTATTTTTTAACAACGTGCCTTACTTTTCATTACTTGCGCAACGTGTCATCTGGCACTTTGCATCCTTGAAATAACGCACAGAAATTTCACTACTTGGGTAACGTGTCGTTTGACACTATGCATCCGTAGTGTGGTGAAATGACTTTTGTTATGAGATGGTGTTGGAACAACTCTCTGATCAGTGTCACACCTGCTTAAGTCTAGGGGTATTTGTTTACGTCGATTTTACAAACCAATGGACATAATGACATGACTCATTTTTACCTTAACTATCAAATACTTCATAACACCATTTATTTAATGAAATAAACTTAATTATTTACATGTATCTTAATATATGGCATAATAGTGAAGTATATGCAAAAAAAAAATAATTTGAGACTAATATAAGTTTTGTTTATTATGCACAATTGCCTCCCGTATAGTCTATTTATCATCATAACAAGTGCCTTGCCTTGTATCACATCGTATAAACTCAGACCTTTCAGTCACTCGTTATGATCATCTGGCTTGATCATCTGGCTTGATCATCTGGCTTGATCATCTATCTTGATAAGTTGCTAGTAGTTTCACTTTGATGTGGAGGTGGCTCCTCCAATTCTTCACTCCGTGGCTTTTCAGGAGTCGGCGCTTCTCAGGGTGTTCATGTAAGTCGGCTGACAGAGCGGCACTCTAAGTAGACTGGAGAACAGCGCAAGTTACTCCAATCTAAAAGAAAATGAAGCATTCCGAAACCGCGAAATATTGTCATCCGATATCCCTCACCAGCGTGTTATGCAAACTGCTGGAGCACATAATCGTAAGCGCAGTCATGAAGGATCTTTAAAAGCCAAAATATACTCAATGACTGTCAGCATGGCTTTCAAGTCAATCGATCTTGTGAGATCCAGTTCCTTGATTTTTTGTAGAAGAATTGTTGACCAATCTGGAGAACAGCCAGCAAACTGACGTGCTGGTGATTGAGTTCTCAAAAGTCATATGAACATGTAAATCATTGTTTGCTTCTATACAAACTTTAGAGATACGGAATTCAAGGCAATACGAAAACATGGATCTCTAGCTTCCACAGCAACCGATGCCAGTCAGTAGTTGTGGGCGGTAAAAGCTCATCCTTTGTCAGTGATATGTCAGGGATACCTCAGGGATCAGTGCTAGGCTCCTTTTTGTTCCCAGCATACATTGATGACCTACCCAAAAAAAAACTGAAATCCCAAGCAAAACTGTACGCAGATGACACAGAGATGTATAGGACGATCTCCAACAGATTTTACCAGAACTAGCTACAACAGGAACTCAATCGGTTAGCTGAGTTGGAGATAAGCTGGGGCCTAGAATTTAGTCCTGCCAAGTGCCAGACACTGTCAGTCTTTAGACGTTTTACTCCTCTACACTACCAATGTGACCAACTGAATGGCCATAGATTCTTGAGCCAGTTTCTCCGTAAAGAACCTGTGTGTTAACATTTAAAGAGAGGTCCGCCGGACGAGCATATTAACAAGGCATGAAACAAGGCAAACGAAACCCTGGCGTTCTTAAGGCGTAACCTAAAGATTGGCATCTCTAATGTGAAAGAAGGAGCCTATACATTTTTTGTCTGTCCGCTTTTAGATTATACATCTTAATTATGGGATCCATTTTCTCAGAAGAGTATCGACAGGTTAGAGGTGGTCAAGCGACGGGAAAAACGCTTGGTCCTACACGAATACCTCTAAAGTTGACAGCCTGCTGGAAGCAGTAGGCTGGTCACTAATGGAGGAACGACGACAACTATCCAGGCTCTTCATTATGTAAAAGATAAAATATGAGCTGGTCCACTGCTCCAGCATGAAACAGAAACTCGTTACTCTCCCCCATAGACAGCGACGAGGCCATGACAGGCAGTTCTCGTTCATACCTGCGAGACGCCAGCATAGGAACTGCTCATTCCTGCCAAAGACAATCAGGGAGTGTAACATGTTTTCAAAAAGGAACTGTTGAGGCGACAACACTTGACACATTTGTGTCTATTGCCTAAGACCTTCCAACCCCCATTGCATGATGCCCTCACAAAGTAGCCCTTGCAACCAGCAAAATATCCTCATCAACACCAGGCACAGAAACATTGGAAATCCCCTCTTCATGTATTTTGGGAGCTAAAATGATCAATCATATGATCGTGAGCCTTTAAGGTATAGAAGAAGAAATCACACGCTAATTTTGTCGTATTTAAATCAATATTATCGCCGAAAGGTAAGCTTAAGTGATGACTGGATTTATTGTAGACTTTTTAGTCATGTTAGACTGTTTTTTTTTGTGCTACGAAGATGTGAGGGTATCTTTACCTTGGTATGATTTAATGTCAAGCATTTCCATCAGGAACTCATTTTTGACCACCTTGGTCAGCCCTCTGCATTGTTTACATTAACAGTGGTAAAGCTAGTAGTCAGTGATGTGAATTGGCTTACCTTTACGCAGCGTTTCTTGGAAGAGTGCCACAGCCACGCCCCATTCTTGGAGCAGCTTCTCTTTAACGTTCAGTTGTATTATTGCCAGATTAACACTTCCCACCCCACAAGCCCCTCCCAGTAGACTTATCTCGATGCCAGATTGACACTTCACACCCCACAAGCCCCTCACAGTAGACTTATCTCGATGCCAGATTGACACTTCACACCCCACAAGTCCCTCCCAGTAGACTTATCTCGATGCCAGATTGACACTTCACACCCACAAGCCCCTCCCAGTAGACTTATCTCGATGCCAGATCGACACTTCACACCCCACAAGCCCCTCCCAGTAGACTTATCTCGATGCCAGATTGACACTTCACACCCCACAAGCCCCTGCCAGTAGACTTATCTCGCGTCAACCTGTTTCCCGATGTTGACGTACCAAAATATTGGTTATGAAAATCAGAAACCCTAGTATCGTACCTCTCACAAACAATGGAATAGTTGTCACGTCCACCTCCCAAACACAGGAAAAGTAGTCTCGTCCCTCTACAAGACACCAGAATAGTTGTCACGTCCCTCTCGCAAACACATGAACAGTAGTCATGTCCCTCAACCCAACACAGGAACAGTAGTCATGTCCCGCAACCCAACACAGGAACAGTAGTCATGTCCCTCAACCCAACACAGGAACAGTAGTCATGTCCCTCAACCCAACACAGGAACAGTAGTCATGTCCCTCAACCCAACACAGGAACAGTAGTCATCTCCCTCAACCCAACACAGGAACAGTAGCCATCTCCCTCAACCCAACACAGGAACAGTAGTCTCGCCTCTCTCCCAAAAAACAGGAATAGTGGTCATGTCCCTCAACCCAATACAGGAATAGTAGTCTCGTCTCTCTCTCAAGCACAGGAATATTAGTCTCGTCAATCTGTCGAACCCAGGTACAATAGCGAAGTCCCACTCCCCAACAAAGGAACAGTACTCTTGTCTCTGTCGCCAACACAGGTACAATAGTCACTTGCCTCTCCCGAACAAAGGAAATGCAGTCTAGTCCCTCTCACAAAAAAAGAAACAATAGTCACGTCCCACTCTCGAACACAGGAACAATAGTCTCGTCTCTCTTTTAAACACAGGAACAGTAGTCACGTCTGTCTCTCATACTCATAAACAATAGTCACGGCACTCTTTCAAACACATAAATGGTAGTCCCGTCTCTCGTCCAAACTCAGCAACAGTAGTCACGTCCCACTCTCGAACACAGGAACAGTAGTCTCGTCCGTATCTCATGCACATGTACAGTAGTCTCGTCTCCTTTGAAAACAAATGAAAATTAGTCTCATTCTTATCTGAAAAACGGGAACAGTAGTCTCGGCCCTCTCCACAACACAGGAACAGTTAGTTATCTTGACTCTCTTCCAAACTCAGTAACATAAGTCACAACCTTCTCCCAAAAACAGGAAGAGTAGTCACGCCCCCCAATCCCCTACACAGGAACAGTAGTCTCGTTACCCTCCCCAACCCAGGAAGAGTGATGTCGTCCCTCGTTAGCCCGTCCCAGACACCAACGTAGAAGGCAGTGGATGAGTTGCCAGATCTACTAAAGATCTACTTGCCATCTTGCTGTGAGTCTATGAGTGATGGAAGTTCTGCTTCCACCCATTAGGGATTAGGCTTTGCGTCGCTTAATCCCCTCTCCCAAGAAGTCCTTGTTTGGGACATTTGGCATAATATGCCGGCTTTTTTAGCTTCGGGTGGTCGATTCCACTATACTGGTCCCCAGCGCCAAGTAGAGGTAAAACCCTTTCAGAAACTGTGCCTTCTAGAAACATCCATCATATTAGTTTCTGTCATTAAAACACTGCTGTTTAAGCCAGCTAAAGACACCCCCCCACCCCATTTTATTTTCTGTATTAAAACTTTTTATGAAGACCTAATATTTACACCAAATATTTAGAAATACTATTTCTAGTATAAGTTATGCATACCGTTTAGACATACAATTTATTTCTTCTAATAAAGACTACGTATTACATAGACGTAATATTTAGAAACTATTTATACATACTTTTTAGACATACTATTTAAGCAAACTAATTAGACCTACTCCTTAGACATACTATTTAGGCCAACATTTTAGACCAACGATTTAGACATACCATTTAGACCAAGTCTTGACTGTCTTCTTGAAGAATCCATTGACACTTGTACTAGACTAACTTAAAGTGAAACATTTCAAATGTCAATGAATCTCACATTATGAGATAGGAACAAAGGGTAAAGTTATGACAAGTTGAAAAAATGACCGATTCGGAATAGGAGGTTTAAAAAAATTATTAAAACAATGCATTTTTTATTGATTTAATTGAGAGGTGAGATCACAATTAATAAGTTTATTTCCATTTGATTGTTGTCTTGTAGAACACGAGCTCATCATGTTGACCGGTGCCCCCCAACTCATGATGTTTTTGGTGTCAGTGGCCACTCAGAATTTCAGTGAGCCCATCGTTTCCTGTGACAAGGGTCCTAAGTTAAAGTGCATGAGGATTGTTCCCAAAATAAGTTTCAAAGTGATTTGTAAGCCAGGTTTCCTGGTAGCAGTTTATGAACTCACTGAATACCTCCAATTAGAGGGCAAGGTCACCTTAATCATGTGTCTTTATGCTGGCAAAAGCGAGGACTGTAGAATGAGAGGTACGTAATTTACTCATTCAATGAGCGGTAATTTATTTAATCATTGAATGATCGTTAAGTTATTTAATCACTTAACCAATTTAGTCAATGAATGAGTGGTGAATCATTTAATTATTCAATGAGTGGTAAGTCATTTCATCATTGAATCAGCGAACAGCCATTTAATCATTTAATCAGCGGTAAGCAATTTAATCATTGCATCAGCATTAAGTCATGTAATCATGAAACAGCGGTAAGTCATTGAGTCTTTCAAAGAAAGGTAAATCATTAGACAAACAGTCATTCATTTAATCAGTGGAAAGTCATTTAATAATTGAATCAGAGGTAGTAATTTAATCATTTGGCTAAGACATGACTGGCATGAAGATCCTAATGGAATAATAATTGGCTAAGACATAATTGACATGATAATCTTAATGGAATTAAACTGTTTAAGTCATGATTGTCATTTTGATTTGAAGGGAATAACAGTTGTCTAAGACATGACTGACTTGATGGTATTCATTGACTAACCACTGGCTAATACATAACTGATTAATAAGACTGATCAATAGAACACTATAAGTTAAGCTTTAATAATAATTATACATTATACACAATTAAACGTTTCGGCATATGCCTTCATCAGTACAAACAAACAAAACACATTTAAATAAGTATAAATTAAATTTACATAATATCAATAGACATATCATACCTAAAACAGAAAAAAAATATAGGAGAGGGCGCTAAAACCAGACAAAAACAAAGTAAAGAGAAGTAGAAAGGAAGTGATTTTAACATAATTGGAAAAACCAAACAGGAAAAAGACATGGCAGCTAAGTAAAATTGTGGATTTGGTTCATTCCATATGGAGACTACGTACCAAATCTAGTTATTAATTTGTTCTCCATATAGATTCTATCTTTAGTGTTACTAGAATAGAGTATAACAGTAGCTGCAATGATTGAGATACCATCATGGTTAGGGCTATTGAAATGTTTGGAGACCAGACAGAGAGCGTGTTTATTTATGTTGTAGAGATGCTCTCTGAAACGGTCCACAAGGCGACGACCTGTCTGTCCTATGTATAGTTTACCGCACTTTTTGCAAATGATGGTGTAAATCACGTTGCGACTTGTGCAGGTAAAGCCATCTTTTATTCTGAATACTTGCAGAGGGAAAGGGATCTTATCAGTTTCGATCACGTAGGGACATGAGTTACAACGGCTACGGTTGCAACTTTTTGTGCCTTTATGTGCTTTAATAGCAGGGAGGTGGCTTCTAACTAGCATGTCCCTAAGGCTCTTGTCCCGCCGGAAAGCGAAAAGAGGAGGTTTTCTAAAAATCTCATTTGTGATAGGGTCTGCCATAAGAATTGAGCGGTTTTTAAGAACCAGAGAGTGAGCTTTTAGGTTGTGGGGATGAAAAGTTAAGATAAATTTGGACCCATCGCTAGTGTCAGAATGAGTAGCTTTAAAAGAAGCCTGTCTAGTCAAACCTTTAACTCGAGTGACAGCTGCTTTTAAAATTTTTTTGGGATATAACTACTACTAAGATATTAGTATATAACTACCACTAGTAAGACATGAGTATTTAACCACCACTAGTAAGACATGAGTATATAACCACCACTAGTAAGACATGAGTATATAACCACCACTAGTAAGACATGAGTACATAACCACCACTTCTAACACATGAATGCAGAGCTCCGACTTCAAAGCATGTGTACTAATAACTACGATTTTTTTTTTTTTGCTGGAATCCGTCCGTCACAATGTGACAATGGGGTGGGCTTCGGAGGACGAAGTCCACATGGCCTGGGATTATTCTTCAAGGATTATAAGCTGGTTCCCAACAGCAGATCTCCCCACGCCACTGGATAACCCAAGGGAGCATCATCAGTGACGTCGCAGGAGTTATCGGAATGTTTCATTGCATCAAAGTTATCCGCCTTTCGGGACTCCATCTCCGGGTTTGATTTCAGAGTTTCCTTCTCTTAGATGAGTTGCCATCCAAGGTTAACGAGTTCATATCTGACTGGACCACCAACTTGAGATTTGCCCAGTTTAGACCACTCGGTCCCCCAACACCCAGTTACCACTATTACAGTAAAACTATTAAGATATGAGAAATAGGTCCCAAGATTAGAATAAGACTAGTACGACATGGATGCATTCCTCCCACAATTTCTTCTTCTTCCATACATTAAGGGCCCACGATCAATTAATTGATCATTTTGGCTTATATGCTTTCTTCTATAACAAATTAGAAACATATGCAGAAATAGACAAACTGTAATAAAATGATATTTAGCCGTTTCTTATTGTAATATTTTCCTCCCATGCCTTAATAAGGCTGCATCTGAATGAAGTAAACATTTCCTTATTTAAACTTATTCATTCCTGAGAAAACATAAACGACTGTTTCAATGATAACCTTTACATTTATGGACCCAACCTTTTCAATGATAACCTTTACATTTATGGACCCAACCTTTTCAATGATAACCTTTACATTTATGGACCCAACCTTTTCAATGATAACCTTTACATTTATGGACCCAACCTTTTCAATGATAACCTTTACACTTATGGACCCAACCTTTTCAATGATAACCTTTACATTTATGGACCCAACCGTTTCAATGATAACCTTTACATTTATGGACCCAACCTTTTCAATGATAACCTTTACATTTATGGACCCAACCGTTTCAATGATAACCTTTACATCTATGGACCCAACCTTTTCAATGATAACCTTTACATTTATGGACCCAACCTTTTCAATGATAACCTTTACATTTATGGACCCAACCTTTTCAATGATAACCTTTACATTTATGGACCCAACCGTTTCAATGATAACCTTTACATTTATGGACCCAACCTTTAACTAAGAAATACAATGAACATTTGGATTTAGTGTAGCTCCCAGAATTTTGTTTCCAAGCATTGTTAGCCCTGCTTTTTTCACAGGTCCCTTGAACACTTTTAACCAGTCCTTCGACTTCAGGTGTCATGCAGGCGCAGTCTGGACCGGTATAACATACGACTACGACCCTAAAGCAGAAGACGGCATATTCCATGCCCAGTGCTGTAAGTTTAGAAGCAGGAAGGTGGCCAACTGTGAGCGGTGGGGAGAGAGAACTTATATGGCACAGTACATGCGTGCGTCGTCAGTGGGTTACAAAGGTTTTTTCCCATTTCCAGCGATCAGCGGTTTCACTTCGAGATTCTACGTAAGAGAGTACGCCGATCGTAATTTTCTAACACGTCAATTCACCATTGACATGTGCATATTAAAATAATGATTTTTACAAAATCCGATATTTGAGCCTGAAAATTTTGTTTTTGATTACTAAATCGAACAAAAGCTTTGCAAATGAAGAATTTATTCAATGTAATCGAAGGAAATACAAATAAAGGACTGCACTACATTTATTGCTTTATCTCTGTTCAATTTTAAGATTTCCAGAAAACGTCCCCTTGCCTTCTTGTTGATCACATTGAACCCGAAACCTTAAAATATCTTAATTTGTAAGATGCTTCAGATAAGACAAACACTAAACAACGTGATAACACGAGAAAGAAAAAAATCATGTAAGCAATTAAATATTATTGAGTAATGTAAGCACACAATCATTAATGATTGATTAAAAACACACAAACACTACTGTGTAATGTAAACACACTATCACAACTAGGTGACGTAAGCACTCAAACACATAGTGATGTAAGCATACTATTAAAACTAAGTGACGAAAGCACCCCATCACTACTGACTGATGTAACCAACCAAACACTACAAAGTGATGTAAGCACCAAATAAGTACTGCGTGATGTAAGCACCCAAACCCTATTGAGTGATGTAAGCACAATATCACTACTGAGTATGTAAGCATTCAATCATTACCAAGTTATGAATGAACCCAATTTCGACTGAGTGATGTAAGCACACAATCATTACTAAGTGATGAAATCAAACCATCAGTATTAAGTGATGTAACCACACAATGAAAAAATAGTTTAGTGAGCACACAATAAAAACTGAATGATATAAGCACACTGTCAATACTGAGGGATGCAAGCTCACAATCAAAACTGAGTGATGTAAACAACTATTCACAACTGAGTGCTGTCAGCACACAAAATATTAAGTGTTGCAATCACTCAAAAAAGACTGAGTGATGTAAGTACACTATCAAAACAAAGTGATGTAAGCACCCAATAACTAATAAGTGATGTAAGCACACGATTGAAACTAAGTGATTGAACTTGGTCTATCCTAGGGTTCTATAGCTTCCTGGTCTAGGCGTTTAATCTATATATAAAAATTCACAAACCATTCTTCTCATATTAAATATCTTTATGACATAACTAAGGTACAACTTCAACTACTTCAACTCGTGCTCACAAGACCATAACACACACTAAATCTACGTCACACCCCCTTTCGCGCAATACGTCACATCCACTTTCGCGCAATACGTCACAAAATATTTATTTATTTATTTATTTAGGCATTTTTATATAGCGCTTACCATAAAGCTCTAAGCGCTTTACAATTATTAAAAAGATGTAAACTAAGTAAATAAAAATGAGACACTAGGATAGTAACTACTATACTATAGAAACAATGAAAATGGCTATAAAACGAGGACACTTTGACACTTTGACACTTCAGGATCAACCCGAAACAGAAAATGAGGCAGGGCAAGGAGGGTGCATCACAGGTCATAGGCGGACCTAAACATCTGCCCAAATACTCTCTAAACAACACGCAATCACACAATACATTCAAGTCCTTAACATTTCCCCCACCCCCCCCATTTTTTTTCGTTTGACATTAATTTTGAAAAATTCATGTTATCCACAAATGTATATCTCAATATTTGACAATAAACATCAAACAATAAACAACAGTAAGTACCACATGTAAACCAATTAATTGCAATATTACATTTTAAATTAAGTAACAGGTATATTAAGTTACAAACAAACTTATGATACATTATCACACCAAAATGTTTAACTAGCTTAGCAACATACAAATTGTTAGTATCACCTTCCAACTCAACAAAGTCAAAACCTTAAATACAATTTCACTCTTAGCTGTTCCTGCTCTCAAACATATTATATCATTATAACATATACATTATGAAAACAAAAATTCTCTCATCTAACTCGAACTCAGGGGGAAAAAAACTAACCTCCTCCATGTAAATTTCGTAACTGAGAAAAAACCATTAGCTATAGCAAAATTCTCTGAGTCGGAGATAGACTCAACACCCCCCCCCCCTCCTTTTTTTTGCGTTTTTAGGAATGCCCTTG